AGAGACGCGGGGAGGAGAATCGCATACGCAAGGATTGTCGAGACCCTTAATACTAATTATTATTGAGAATTAAATACTATCTCAAACATTAGTATGTCTTATTTCCCTTTCATTTCAACAACTGGCGTCGGCAGCTTAAACCAAAGAATCGTGTACATGTTTGAATAGAAGTCCTTCCTTTTTTTTCTATTCAAGAAGATGCATGACTGTTTTCACTTTAAAAAATACAGACATTCTAGAAAGATGTCCCTATACAAAGTATCAATAATTGTCACATTTTTTGTAATCCACATCTCGTGTAACAGATTGACAGATCTCTTCAAATTTTAGCTGATGCAGTAAAACTTCATTAGGAGGTTAGAAGGTCAGACGTTTTCATATTATATATATATCACGAAAAAACAGTTTCTTATTAAATAAATACGCTAAGTTTAAACATATTAGGTACTTACCATCAAAAATTGCACAGTGTAGTTTAGATGCACAAATTTAAGTGTTTATGTATTTCTTAAAACACGATTTGTCGTTTGTTTGTTTGCAAGCAATTCAAACAATACCTCATTTTACTAATTTTAGTCGAAATGTTCATATAACTGATTTTCGTGTGTAAAAGTAATTAAAATAGCAATGGTGTTCTTAAGTGTAAACTATAGACACACACACACACATACACACGCGTGTTTTACATAGATAAACTTGTGGTTTTTAATTGATCACGCATATTTTATTTATTGTAAGTTCTACTTCAGCTAATAGTTATACGTTTAATCAGTAGATGGCGTGACAGACATATTTATATTTAAAATTTGGTGAAATTTGTACACTTTGTTTTATGGTGCTGAGTTGCTTTTGTAATATATGGTAATTGATTACTTCAGGGCATTGATTTATATTTGATTAATTTATTTGTTATTTACGTTAGGAAAAAGTCAACCAAATTAGTATTGATATGGAGCAGAAAATACTTTGATATGTATTATCTGCGAAATTTGGTGAAAGTAAAAAAAATACCGTATTTTTCGGAATATAAGACGCACCCTTATTTTGAAGACAAAGTTTTGGGGAAAAAAAATGCTATAGTCGTATATATACATATATATTACTCATACCTTCGGTGTATAGGACGCAAGCAGATTCTGACATCAAATTTTGG